ATGGTGTTGGGACCTTTTACCTCCCTTGGAACCACGGCCATTATTGGGTGTTTGCTGAGGCGGCCTCGGCCTCATGGGTTAGCATTTCTGAACACGTGACCTGGCTGGGTTGGCATTTGCTGGCTTTTAGCCCGCGTGGGGGCTTTTGACTTTAGTCCTGTCTAATGGTTTAATCTGAAATCTGCCTAGGACCCTTAGTGATAGTGACGTAACTGCTTCTTATTGGTTCTCACTACTGTCTCTTCTTACTCCCTCCTTCTATCACTATATAACCTTGTCCCTGACACAATAAAGTTGACGTTATTGCACCTTCACGGTTAACTCATCTCCCAACTCAGTGTGATTGTGTGGGCCAGGTTAGGTGGCGGGCTAGGTCGTGATACTTACCCTCTCGCTCAGCCCAGGAGACACTAGCTGTTCTGGTGAGCTTCACTAACTCTGTCAGAGGGCGGTTCCAACACCTGGTGCTTTGGAGACGACAGGCTGGTCTCCCACGCACCCTTGTGGGGGGGGGACAACACATTGGTGCCCCGGGTGAGGAAGGAACTTTGCTGACGAGCAGTCGGGCAGTGTACCCCTACCAAAATGGGGCAGGCTTCTTCAAAAAACTATCCCTCCCTTCTGCCCCTCCATTCTCCATTACCAGAGGTCAAGGGCTCAGAGCTGGGGGAGGCACTAGGGACAAGTTCCGCTCCCCTTAGAGACCCTGATGCTGTTCCATGGCCTCCCAGACAGGGAAATTCCCTCTACCCTCCATTACCAAGCTCCGGGTCTTCTCAGAACCCTTTTAAATCATCCACCAGCAGCCCTTGCAGGTCACCTTCTGCCCCTTCTCCACCATATCTGAATTCTAGGACCCAGGCTGTATTCCCATCTAAGGGCTCAGGTCCTTCTATAGGTTACTCGCTCCATATGGAGTCAGAACACCACCCACAGCATAGTTCGGGGCCATGTCAATTATTTCCTGTTAATATTAATCCAGGTGGTAATCGCCCAGAGACTTGGTATCCCTGGGACCCAGGGAATCTTAAGGAACTAAAAAATGGCCGATTGGAGGGCTTTGGCCCAGGTGGTTCTTTCTGCCCTGACAATAAGCAGCTGACTCCATGTTGTTTGTGACACCATGGTAACCATGCTGTGCTGGCTGGAAGAGCAGGTTTCCTGGTCCCACCTCCCACACTTTCACAGGCTTCTGATTGATTCTTCCACTGTCACACAGACAGGACTTCTAGTCCCACCTTCCAACCACTAACCTGTATTTCCTGTTTCAGATTGCTATCAGAGCTTCGAAGAGCTGCATTTTTAAGAATGCCTCCCTGAAAATGCTAACAAAAGATCTTTTTCAGACAAAATTTAATTCCACAGGTTTCTATGTTGCAGCCCTAAATTTAAGTTAGTTCTGAGTTAAATAACCTGACTTTTCTTATAGTTGTGTTACTAAATAATCTATTAATAAGAGATATCTGACATGCTTGTTTGTGTTTAATTTTGGAGGTTATGGGGATGCATTTGCTCGCCACAGGAACAAAGCTGGCAATGTTCCTGTGATGACCAAAAAAATCCTTATTCTAATTCCTGACTATAAAAAATAAATATGTATGCACAAGGATTTTATTTCAGTTACATCAAGTGACTTCACATAAAAGAGTGCACTCCTAGGTAAAAATAAATTGAAATGGATCCAAGTATTCTTAAAAAATCATGTGGTTACATAAAGTTAATACAATTATAAGTTATGTCCTTATTCTTAATATAATCTATAAAATAATTAGCACATGTTTAATTGTTTAGTTAATATATATATTTGCCTAATTGTTTTTCTTCAACAGGAAACTCATAATTTATATGTTTTATATGTACATTTATCAGATACTCTGCCTTTTCAGTTACAGATATTTGAGATAAATGTATTTACTATAAATTTGCTTTTAAGTGAAAATACAATCTTCAAGTTGTTTCTAATTCTCAAAGTTATTGTTCAAACTCATAAGATGATAAACAAGTATAATTCTGTCTACAAAATATTTAAGGATTTTAACTATATTCTCATTGATATTTCTTATCAAAGTACAATAATTTGTTTATAGATTCTAAGGATTTCAGAAATTGTTCCAAAGTATAACGAGAAAAAAATCTAAAAGATGCTTCAACCAAGAGAAAGCACACATTGGAACCTAAAAACAAGAAAGAAATCATCATTGGGTAAAACAAGGTCTTTATATTCCAGATTTTAATGATATCTAAACAGATGATAAAAAAAAGTTAAAACAATTAAAAAAGAAATTTATATATACTGGACTAACTAAAAATTTTAACTGATTAATTCAAGGATATTTCAGGCTATTTTCCTAATTTGACTATACTGATGTGAGCTAAGATTTTGTCCATATTTTGACATGATAAGCACCTATTAAAATGTAAGTTTATTTCTAAAACAAAGTTCCTTATTGCCTAATAATTATTGCTATTTAAGACAAAGATTAATTTTGGTAAATAAATTCACATCATTGATTAAACACAAGTATATTAAACTGCTAACTTAGATCCCAATTTTGACAATTGTCCTTTACGATTAAATTTAATTGATTCTTAAAACACTGAGACAGTTCTTACATATTTTGTTTGTTAGATAATTATAAAATTAAAAATATATATAAATATTTTATTAAGGTTCTCCAAATTAAAGTTGTATATTAATTTTGACCAATAAAGTTTACAAACTTTAAAAATTCATTAATATTATGTAAGTTATCTGACTGAACCTATTATCTATAAAAAATACAGTAAGATTTATGTACTACTCCCTACACTAAAAAATAAACTTAATTATATTTTTTAAAGACAATTAAGAGATACCTATTTAAGTATAATATTCTAAAATATAGAGATATTTTGAGACCTTCTCTCAAAAGGAGATTGAGGATTCTTTCTAAATTGTTAGGTTGGATCGACTAGTCTATATTGGGAAATTATAATAATAAATAAATCTATTCTTATCATTTAAATAGTTGGACTATTATCTATAACTTAAACTAATGATACTATGACTTATGCCAATCCTTTACTCAATTTTATTAAATAAAGAAAAGGTAAAATACAGGACCCCAAGGACACACACTAGATTTTACAAATATGACTTAATGAATTGAATCAGATATCAAAGGAGAGTTTAAACCAGTCATCATGCTCCTTCTTTCAGGTCCCCCCACTTCAGACTGGTGGCGTGAATCCTCGGGGTCTGAGGCCTAATAACCTCTGGAAGACCGATGTCACACATTCTCCCTCATTTGGAAAGCTTAAATACATCTTCTTAACAGTAGATAATTTTTCTCATGCATGTTGGGCCACTGCCCATGCAGGATAAAAATCCAAACATGCCATAAGTCAATTTTTTTTACAATGTTTTTCTATCAAAACTGCCTTTGGCAAATTCCTCAAACAGTGGCAAATTACCCATACGCTCATAATCCCAGAGGACAAGCAATAGTGGAAAAACATAATCATCTCCTAAAATCCCAACTAATAAAATAAAAAGGAGGAATACTCCCCTCCCCAGGATCAGTTGAAGATGGCCCTGTTTACTCTCAATATTTTAAATTTGGTCAAAGGTGAACATTTCTCCCCTTTCCATAAATATTGGGCGACAAGTGTCCCATATCAGACAATCCAAGTCTGATGGAGAGCTCTTCTCAGTGGAGAATGGAGGGGTCCAGATCCCCTCATTACAGCTGGAAGGGGATTCATTTTTCTCACTGAGGAAAAGAAACCCATTTGGGTCCCTGCGAGGGACCTCAAATATTGCCCCCCTATGGAAGGGGACCCCGATGATATTGATGAGGTCCCAGAAGGCTCCCTGCCTTCTGAGGATATCCTTCTCTCTTCTCTTTTTTAGGACCAGATATGAATTCTACAAAATTGGTTTTGCTGTTCCTGGGGTTAAGTACGCAGATGAAGATTGTTGGCTTTGCTTAAAACCAGGTCCGTTATAGGCCAATGCCATTCTTATTAATTCCTTACAGACTGGAACCCAATGCTCACTCCTGCCCCCGAGGTCTGGAGTCTATTTAGATCCTTTTTCTCCTAGAGGCCTGTGTTTTAAGTCTGAGCCTTTTCCTGATAATTCCACCAACATAGATGTGGGCCTAATACATTACTCTTTTTGTCAAAATAATATTTCAATCAATGGCTTCCACTGCTGCCCTCCTAATGGGACTGTCTTTATTTGTGGGGGGACAATCTGAGCTTTCTCCTGCAAAACTGGACTGGGCTCTGTGCTCCTGTCATTATGTTACCCGATTTTACATTTGTCCCTAATAATCAGAGCCTTCCTATCCTCACATTAGAACATACAGAGGGAAAAGTTAAAAGAGCCATCCAAGCCCTTCCGCTGATCTTAAGCCTTGGAGTAGCAGCCAGGGCTAGTCGTGGCATGGCAGGATTGGGGACCTCTTTACATTATTATAAGGTCCTATCCCAACAAATAATTGATGATTTATAAGCTGTGGCAAGTACTATCTTAGACCTCCAAGCACAGCTGGACTCCCTAGCTACAGTGGTTTTTACAAAATCACAGGGGACTTGACCTCTTGACTGTTGAGAAGGAAGGATTATGTCTTTTTTTACAGGAGGAATGCTGCTTTTATGTAGATCGCTCAGGAATAGTCCAAGATAAAGTTACACAGCTCCAAGAAGATCTCGAGAAACAGAGGAAGGAGTTACAAGCCAATTTCCTCTGGATGGGATTGCAAGGATGGCTGCCCTATCTCCTGCCTTTTCTTGGCCCTATTCTCTTATTGCTTCTACTCTTTACCTTTGGACTCTGTATTATTAATAAGGTAATTCAAATTATTCAAAGCAGACTAGAGTCAATCCAGCTTATGAATGTCCAAATCCAGTACCAGAGGCTAGCCACTCAGGCTGATGACTCATATAACCAGCAAGAGCTCTATGATGAGGTCATGTCCCTTGACTCCCCCTGAACGCCTCCCGGTGAGCCCATGATGGGTAAGATCTCTGGAGCAGAGACAACCTATGACAGGCCTGAGGATGGTTCAGTTTTAGGGGTCAAAGAAACTGCAAGGTACTCAATGATGGGTAAGATCCCCTGAAGGGGACAACCTAAGACAGGGGCCTTGCATAGTTAACCCCATTTTAAAACAAGGGGGAGATGTTGGGACCTTTTACCTCCCTTGGAACCATGGCCATTATTGGGTGTTGGCTGAGGCAGCCTCATGGGTTAGCATTTCCATATATGTGACCTGGCTGGATTGGCATTTGCGGGCTTTTAGCCCGCGTGGGGGCTTTTGACCTTACTCCTGCCTAATGGTTTAATCTGAAATCTGCCTAGGCCCCTTAGTTATAGTGGCATAACTGCTCCTTATTGGTTTCACTACTGTCTCTTCTTAGTCCTTCCTATCACAATAAAGTTGAGATTATTGCACCTTCACGGTTGACTCATCTCCCAAGTCGGTGTGAGTGTGTGGGCCAGGTTAGGTGGCAGGCTGGGCCACGATACTTACCCTCTTGCTCAGCCCAGAAGACACTAGCTGGTCTAGTGAGCTTCATTACCTCTGTCAGAGGGCAGTTCCGACACCTGGTGCTTTGGAGACAACAGGCTGGTCTCCCACGTACCCTTGTTGTGGGGGGGCGACAAATGGAAAATCAGTAAAGAAACAGAATACTTGAATGAAGCTGTAAAGCAACAAGATCTAAGAGACAAGTGTAGAGCACTGTACCCAACAACAGCAGAATATACGTTCTTCTCACATGTGAATAATTGTATGTTAGATCAGAAAATAGGACTCAATAAATATAAAACAATGTAATTCAATAACAGAAATTCACAAATACATGAAAGTCAAACCACATTCTTTTCAATAGCTAATGAATCAAAGAAAGAAATCACAGAGAAATTTAGGAAAAACCTTCAGATGGATGAAAATATAAGCAAAGCATACGAAAATGTATGGAATGCATCTCAAGCAGTGCTTGAAAGGAAAGTTATAGCTGAAAATGCCTACATCAATAGAGAATAAAGATCTCAAATTGATAACTTTCTGCCTTAAACAAACTAGAAAAAAAATAAACGAACAGTATCAAGAAGAAGGAGATAATAAAGACTACAGAAGAAATAGAATAGAAAAATAATATAAGAAAATCAAGTTAGTTTTCAAAAAGGTTAACAAAGTTGCAAAACCCCTAAACATAGCTCAACTTCAAAAAGATTATGCAAAGTGAAAGAATACAGACAACAAAGCAACATACAACATGATTCCATGTTATATGAAATATTCAGACTAGGTAAATGCATAAAAATAGAAAGCATAATTGCCCTTGCTTGGGAATAGAGGGAGAGATAACTGGGGAGAGGTTGCTCAATGAACATAAGGTATAGTTTGCAGTGATGAAAATGTTTTAGAACTACATAAAATTGGTGGTTATACAACACTGTGAATGGATTAAATGGCAGTGAATTGGTCATTCTAAAATGTTTTTTTTTTCTTTTTTTGGTACTGAGGATTAGACTCAAGGGCACTCAACCACTGAGCCACACCCCCAGTCCCATTTTGTGTTTTATTCAGAGACAGGGTCTCACTAAATTGCTTAGCACCCCGCTTTTGCTGAGGCTGGCTTGAACTTGCGATCCTTAAAATGATTAAGTTTATATTATATGAATTATACCTCAAACTTAAAAAAGGAGAAAGGAAAACCTTTAGCTAGACTGATCAAGGAAAATAAAAAGAGAATAACAAGCTAATAAAAATCAGGAATGAAAGAGGGAATATCATTACTACCTTACTATAAATCAAAAGGATTAAAAGGAGATAATATGAACAACTAATCATATGCTGACAAGTTGGATAACAGATTAAATGGATAAACTTTTTTTAAAAAAACTACGGAAAGTGATTCAAAAGAGAACAGAAAAATCTTAATAGACGTATAATAAGTAAAGAGATAGATAATATTCTTTAAGACTTCTTGTAAATAAAACACAGACATCTATACTAGATAAGTTTACCAAATATTTACAGATGGAAACCCAATTTTCACAAACTTCTGAAGACAGGAGGGGAGGAACATTTCCCAAATAATTTTATGAAGTCATTATTATCCTGATACCAAAAACATGTAAAGATGTCAAGAGAAAAGAAAACTACAGACCAGTATTCTTTATGAATATAGACACAAAACCCTCAATAAAATACTAGCAAAATGAAGTGAGCAATATCATCAAAATGATTTTATTCCATGACCAAATAGAACACTCAAGCTTCCTGATTTCAAAAGACACTATTATACAACTGAAATATTCAAGAGAATGTGGCATGGTTATATTCATAGATATATGAATAAATGGGGTAGAATTGAGAGTTCAGAAATAAATTTCATGTGCCTATGATCAGTTGATTTTCAAGAAGATTACTAAAACAATTCAGTAGAGAAAAGAATATTTTTTCAACAAATGGTGCTGAGATCACTGAATATCACACATCTCTACATTTTAGGGAACTGTAGCTTGCCTTGTGACCTCACTTCTTTGATAGACCTATGAAAAGTGTTTGTTTCAATTTATTCTGCATTTTACTTGTTAGGCCGGAGTGGCAATTCTAACTTTCTTGTGTGAAAGACTGAAAAACAATTTTTTCTAGGTTTTTTTATATAACTTTTGCATATAGAATACATATGTATATGAATATGAATAATTTTAGATGTATAGAAAAGTTGCAAAGATATATATAATTTCAGTTCCAAGTTCCAAAATGTGGCATTGGTAGGACACAATAAAGATCCCAGAAAAAACTCGGTGATATAAACTGATTTTTAAAATGGCTATAAAATAAATTGATTGGAAAATGATAGTCTTTCCAAAAACTAGTGCTGGTAATGTTTGATGACGACAAGATTAAAAGGAGATAATATGAACAACTAATCATATGCTGACAAGTTAGATTAAATGGATAAGCTTCTTTTAAAAAAAAACTACTGAAAGTGATTCAAAAGGGAACAGAAAATCCCTTGGGGAAAAAAATCCCTTGTATTAATCCTAATAACTATTGTGTTAAACATACAAAAATTAACTCAAAATTAAGTCATATTAGCGTGGTACAGTTGTCATAATGAGTTAACCATTTTTGATAGACTTATTATATAAAGTTTATGCTTTCTACAAATGCCTCAAATCTTTATTGAATGTCTTTTTTTTTCTGTTCTGGGATCTCATCTAAAATATCACATTACATTTAGTCATCATGTCTCTTTAGGCTTTTGTGAGAATTTCTTAGACATAACCTTATTTTTGATGACTTGGACAATTTTAAGGTATGTTCATCACTGATTCTGTGAAAAGTTCTTCCATGTGAGGTTGCCTCATGGATGTAGTCAATCACTTCTTCTGTGCCAAATGAAGAGAAACCATGCTTGTTTTCTGTTCCTGTATTTTCACCTTTTCTAAAGTGCCAAATGAACAGAATAATTTAATGTGTTGCCTTTTTGATATGTTTTTTTTTTAATTTGGAAAAATGCATTTAACTTTTATCCATGTTGATGCATGAATTAATTCTTGATTCCTTTTTATTATGTATTTATATGGATCTATAGTTTATTTTTCCATTAACATATTGAAGGACACCTTGGTTTTATTCAATTTTTGGTGATCATGAATAAATGAGCTATAAATATTATCATATAGGTTTTCTTGTGAACTTAAGTTTTCAGGTCACTTTGGTAAATACCTAGGGGTGTGACTGATGGGTCCTTTGATAAATATACTTTTCATTACTTCATAACTAACAACCTGTCTTTAAAGTGTCTGTACCCTTTTCAATCACTGTACAATGAATGAGAATTCCTATTTAGAATCTTGTAAACATTTGGTGATGTCAATTTTATATTTTATTTTCTATTTTTTAAAAATATTTATTTTTTAGTTTTAGTTGGACACAATAACTTTATTTTATTTTTATGTGGTGCTGACTATTGAACCCAGGGCCTTGCACATGCTAGGCAAGTGCTCTACAGCTGAGACACAATCCCAGCCCTGTCAGTTTTATTTTTTAATTTGCATTCACTTAATGACATATTATGTTAAGCATATTTTCATATGCTTATTTGCCATTGATATTATTTGGAGAAATGCTGTTTAGATCTTTAATCCATTGTTTCATTATTCTCCCCTTATTATTGGATTTTAAAAATTCTTTTGATATCCTGGACATGTTTGTTTTCATCAGATAAATGAATTGAAAATATTTTTTCTAGTATATTACTTGTTTTGTCACTCTCTTAACAATTTGTTTTTGTCTTGCAAACTATTTTCAATTTTAATGGAATTTATATCAATTTTTTTCTTCATGGATTGTAGTTTGTTGCGGTGTCTAAAGCTCATTTCCAGATAAAAATCATGCAGATTTTTCTCTTTTTTTGTAAAAATTTTATAACTTTCTCACTTTTACAATTTGACCAGTACCCATTTTAAATTCATTTTTGTGTATACATAACACAAAAGTTATTAAGTAAGGGATATTAAGATAAGGGATGCTTTTTCCCTTGTCCTTAAAATTTTTCAACACCAGTTATCAAAAAGACCATCATTTTTCCATTGAATTTCTTTTGAGCCTATTTTTTTTAATTCTGTGTGAATTTGCTTCTGGGATATTTATTCTGTTCTAACAATCTACATGTATCCTTTCACCAATATCACATTGTTTTGATTATTACAGTCTTATACTAAGCCTTGAAATTGGATAATGTGAATAAGTAATCCTATTTTTTCTTATATTTTCACCATCTTTTTACTGTATTGGTACTTTTGAATTGCCATATAAGTATTAGAATCAGTCTTCAAATACCTACCAAAAATCATGCTGAGATTTTGATTAGTTATGAGTGAAATTTATAAAGAAATTGGCGAAATTGACATCTTCAGGATATAATTTATAGTAAATCACTATTTGAGGAAGGTGCCAAGAGCACACAATGAAGAAAGACAGTCTTAAAAAATGGTGTTAGAAAAACTGGATTTCCAAACACAAAAGAAGATAATTGGACCATCTTCTCATAGCATACACAAAATAACTC